CCGCGGGCGTTACTCACCACGCGGTTGTCTCGCTTCCCCATGGCGCCGCCGCGGCCCAGCCCGGGCCCCTTCCCCTCGCCAGGGAGGCCGCGCCGCAGGCGCCCGGCCCTGCTCGGCCCCGCGCAGCCGCTCGGCCCCGCGAGCGCCGATGTCGGCGGCCGAGCAGCGCCCCCTACCGGCGGATCGCAGCCGGAGCCAACCGCGGCACCGCCTCGGCTCGTGGGCGTGGGGCGAGTCCTCGCGGGGCCGCACCGCGGGAGGGACAGGGCGGCGCTCCTCGGAAGCTGCGCGGAGGGGAGCGGTGGAGCTTCGTGAGGTGCGGCCTCGGCGGCGGGTCGGCGCCGGCCCACCGTCGTGGGAGAGCTGGGGACAAGGGAAGGGTGAAAGGAAATCGGAGCGTGGGGTGCGTTGGTGCCCTGGGATGTGGAACGTGGGGAGCCCATCTGCACTGAACACCTCGGAGGAGGGGAAGGTGCCGTTGCGAGGTTTTTTTCTCCTCTTGACCTACCTAGTGGTCGCTTGGAGGAGTCGCTTCGGTTTCCTGAGGTGTACGCTGAGGTGCCCTGACTGTGGCGGCCTGTCCTGGTACAGTGCTCTGCGGAGCGGGGTCTGCTGACAAAACAAAGGGAGAAGAAAAGGAGAATAAGTGCTCAATCGTTACTTATTACCTCTCTGCTTCCCTGGCAAACCAAGGAATTCTGTAGTGTGGTGCCCGAGAAGCCCGTCAAAGACACGAGCAGCAAAACTCCTTAAAACATATGGAGGAAAAAACAGCATTAGCAGAGAGAGAAGATCATGCTCTTCACGGTGCGGCCTTGCCCTGCATGCCTCCTCAGCCTGGTCTCCTGGGCAGGCCCTCACCAGCCAGCTCGGGGCTCATGGTGCCTGGCAGTGCGTTGGGGTCTGGGCACAGGTCTGGCCATGCTGCTGTCACCACACACCAGGTATGGGGACATGGGTCTGGCTATGGCACTGCAGGCTGTGCCCAGTGCCGGAGGTCTGGGAGCACCACAGCCTGACTTGAGGCCATGGCAGGGTGTGAAGTTGTGGCTGACAGCCCCAGAGCAACTTGGTGCATTTTGGTGACACTGCTATTAGCTCTCGTGCTGGCTTGGGAGCAAGGAAACACATCCAGCCAGAGGGGGTGCCTAAAAATGGGTGATAGTATGTATAGGAAAGGATTCTGGGTGACAAGAAGCTGAAAGGTGCCTGTGTCTATAGAACACAAAAAAAGCAACACAGCCATTGGGTGTAAAGTGATGAATACTGCAAATCTTGCTGTGTGCCAGTAACTGACAGACAAATGAGAGATACACATTTAAATCTTTTAAAATGAACATTTGCTTCTATGGTGCAACGATACGTGGTGTCGTTAGGTAGTTCTGAGGCAAAGAAGATGACAACATTTATGAGAATAATGAAAACTGTATCATATCACTCGTGCTATTTCTCTGTGGAATTTTGCTTAATGGACAAAATTTTATTTTGTCTTCCATGGTTGAGTTTGATGAGCTTGGTGCAGCTCAGCCTCTCTCTCAGGTGAGGGCAAAGGAAGAAAATCTCCATGGGAAGAGATTCCACAGCTGCCTACAACCTGCTGGAGCTCCTACTCTGCCAGATTAGCACTCTCAGAGATCAGATGCTGAATGGAAGCTCTTGATTAGTCTGTTTATTATTTCTATGTTTTTTCCATGTTTTCAACACATGCCAGCTGTAGTTGAGGTGGGTATGTCCAGCACTGCCCTCAGCACAGCCTCCCTGCAGCTGATGGCACATCCATCTCTGGCTGGGCTACTGCTGCGCCCTCTTACGCAGCGCTTCAAGCCTGATGTGGAATGCCACATAAGGTAAAGGTAGCTGTTTTTGTTTAATGTCACATTGCGTCCAAAGTGTATATGCTGGTTTTGTAAAGGATTTACATGACTCCTTGTGGTTTCTCGAGGGCAGCAAAAAATTGTGGTTTTGAGTTACAGAATCCTTTGTGTTGTGGTCTGGTCAGCTTTGGCAGCCATCTCTGCCTAGAACTGTGACTAAGATGTGTCTGGGTCAGTTTTTACATACTGATGGCTCATTGAAGCCTTGTTAGTAGAAACTACTTTTATCCTGCTCTAAAGAGACTTAATGGTCTTCGCAGATATATCACAGAATCATGGAATGGTTTGGGTTGGAAAGGGCATTAAGGATTAGCCAGTTCCATCCCCCTGCCATAAGCAGTATGCTGAAACTTCACGTGAGCTGTTTGCTGAGGTGTTCTGTTGATTGGGTAGGAGTGAAAACAGGGGTTTTAGAGTTTGATGATGTGTCATATTGTTGGACTCCAAACAAGCACTTTTACCATTTCTGTGTACCAGAAATGTTACTGGTCTCGTATCCATTGCCAATGAAGGAGAAAACAGTCAATGAATAAAGTGTGCTCAGGTTCTTAAAAGACAGAAGGTGGAAGTAGCAGCAGACATGAACACCAGGCCCTTCAGTGGAACAACTGGATTGAAAAAAATCAGGGAAAATAGCTGAATCAGTGCACAAGTTGCCTAGCGAAGTGAACTCAAACAAAGAAGATTTCAGTAAAGACAAACTAGTGCTGAACAGAGTCGCCTGGACAGCAACGGCAACAATTTAATGCCCTTGAAAGAAAAGGTGACTTTTTTTTTTCTTTTTTTTTCCTTAATGGACTTCATCCTATGGAAGCAAGGGAATAATTCAGTGGTCAGGAAAAACAAGGTAACATTTTTATAAAACCAGAGGTGTATGATGGGTTACTTGCAAGAGTGTGAACGTGCTTATGTTTCTGTGTCTGGCTTTGTGTGCATGTTGGGTTCATTTTCTGTAAGGCTCTGAGTGTAGAGGAAAACACAAAAAGAAAAACTGGGAAACAGCGTCGCTACTTTTCTGTATTTAATATACAATACTTACTGCATTTGTATTCATTTTACATTTTTAGATAAAAGAAAAATATAGCTAGAAAAGTGAAGTAAACTTCAGGAAAGTAGTTTTAAATACAAAACTAGTTTCTTGCCTTTTTACTTTCCAATAATTTGGGAACAACTAAAAACTTGACGCCATGAACATTTTTATTATATCGATTTTCATACGGAACCCTCAGCACCCACAATAAATACACAACTTTGCTTTTCTTGCACTGCCAGCAGCAAAACGTTCAGTTCCAAAGGACTGTAATTCTGATATAATACATTGACAACCTTCTGTGTGCCTTAATTTAACTCTGCCGTATTGACAAATGAGTATTTTTGCAGTCCACCATCTTTACAGACTTGTAAAAGCTAAAGAATATGTTATATGGTAAGGTGCATGCTTGGAAGAGTACGCTCCGATGAACTTCAATGCAGTCAATGTAAAGCAGCCCCAGCGAAGGGTGTTCCTAAAGCAGAAAGCCTCCCAGGGTGAGATCTGGGACACAGAGCAGGCATGCAGTGAGATCAAAGGGCTTTGTCTGAAAGCTTGCAAAGAGAGCCCGAGAGCGTCCAAAGTGTCGGCATTGTTTCCCAGCCATTCTGTACAGCAGAAACATAGTTTTTCCAATGCGTATATGGTAATCAGCAGCTGTGCAAGGAGAGGCTGCAAGAGTTCACGTACAGCAATGGTGCAATATTTTTATTTACCACAGTTTGCGTTATGTAACCCCTTGGTGTATATTTATAAGCACAAGGCAAGCCAGCAACAATTCAAGAATCACGGTTACGCCTTCCTGTACCTCTGTGGGTGATACTGTGTTTCACACAGAGCTGATCTTAATGCTGAACAAAAAGAATGTAAAGAACACTGAATTATTAAGCACACAGAATAACAATAATGATGCACCTTTAATAGAAACAGTAACACACGCACCTTTTCATGTTTGTACCCTGATTAAAAGAACATCGTGAATTTCAAGTATGAAGTGATACAGTGAAATCATGTCCTGTGAGTAGGTATCCACGGTAGTCTAGGTAGTACACTTTGCACCATAGGTAACTTTCCACCTTGCACAATAAAATCCTACTGCCTTTGTAGGTAAAGTGACAGAGCTCAGCGGGACTGCGCTGCCTTTCACCAGCAGTTACGTGTCCTAAGGTGGAGGAAGGAAAACATCTGAAACTGCTTTGCATGATTCCCTTGGATAATGAAACCCTAGACATCTCCAGAGCACATGGCGTTACGAAAAGAACACAACAGAAGTCAAACAGCGTTAGATGCCCTTGTAACTTCTTGATTTTTTTTTGTAAAAACATACTGAGAAATTAAGGCACTGAGGCAGATTTTGACGTCAGCCTGGTGTAATAAGACCAATGGATGAAGTTACTCTGGATGTGTCTCACAAGCTGTCCTCCCTGTTCATAGCATTCTGTAAACCGGAAAGCGCAAGTTTTAATATTGCCTTTTGAGACTGTAACGTATCTTGCAGATTCCCAAAGCAGTATCCCAGAAGGGTGACAAACAGGCCTCACTTTACGCAGTTCCGTTAACTTCAGTGGGATTTGTAACGTGGAAATAGGCACGCATGGGGTGTCTGAGCAGTGAGAAGTGAACCTTGTTTCTGGTACGTTTCTGCACCAGCATCACGCTTTACGTCACATACCCCAGTGCCACAAGGAAGTGCACTTCCAAACTTTTGTATTAAAAACAAATGAATAGAAACTGTGAGAGAAATAATATTAACTAAATAGTTTTTGTCGCATTACCATTTATATAACATTCTTGCTGATTTATTAAGCTTAAGTATCCATATAGACCTGAGCTGCCTGACACTGGAATTTGTAGATTTGCATGGTGAAATTCTTGGTTTAAATTAATTGTAGTCAGTGGAGTTACAAAAAGAGTAGATCACGCTGAATGATTTTAATTACTTTGAAACTCCAATCCTATTTCATGCAATTGTCCACGCACACACACAAAAAATACCAACATTTGCTGCCTTTATGCTTTTGTATAGTCAGCAATCTTTTCTCAAATCCAGATGGGCAATTTGATTGTTGCAACAAATGTACTTCGGTTACGAGGCCCCACACAAACGTGGCCCCTGGTTTCAGCATCTGGAATCTACAGATAACTGCTGGAACGACTACAGACAAGATAAAGCCAAAGGCGGCCTATGTAATATT